TTCTAGACTCCTCCAGAAATTAAACTGTCTCTCAGAATACGAATTTGAACAACAATACCACTAATTTTTAAGAAAATTACATGTAAATCTGTCTTTGTGCTCTTGAATGCTTGTGCTCTTAACAGACATTCGCCATTTTTATCAAGTACATCTTAAGGTAAATTTTGTTTTAGGGTTTTACGTAATAGATTCATGTTCCAGTATCTGTTTGAAAATAAAACAAACGTGGATAACTACAATTGCTAATATTTCTGAACAATTGTTAAGAATTTCGTATACGCTGTCGTTTTCACTCATTTTTCAAAATATAGGGTGACCTTTGAGTACCAAGCTTTTTTTATCGTCAAACGTTTCTAAAAACGGTGCAAACTACCCCCAACATGATGTCTATGAAATTTGCTATGTATCTTAAAGTCAATCATACATCATTAAATATTATTTGTTGAAATTTGGAAAACGGTACATAAGTTGTTTTATATTTTGTTGGGAAGGACGGTACCAATTTTAGATGCCCATTATATTACTTTTTTATTATTGAAATCCACCCGCTCTTTTGTTTATTAAACAGGCATTGGTTGCTGTAAAAGTCACATATTTCAGTAAATATTTCTCTTTATGTTTAACAAGTTTTACGGCAGCCTAAATGAAGCTTTTATTTTAACTCTAGTTTTACCGGTTCTTTACCATTCATTTATGTTGCGGTGTCTCAAATAGTCCTTGTTTCCCAGCTTCTCGCGATGAAACTATGTGATAAAAAGTGGTCACATAAATTATAAATTCATGAAAGATTCAATAATAAGAGAAAGTCAAGTTTAATGTCATGTGATATCTGTCATGTATGTCATATAGTTTAGGAAATTATGTATTGAACAACCATCGTATATCAACCAATTATTGCTATTAACAATAATTATTTCTAATAATATTTCGACACGATATTTCTCAGAGAGCTTGGGAAAATACCATCCAGTCCGAAACATCTATCAAATTGGGATATTTTAGTAGAAAAAAACATATTTATTTTAAGGACAGATGATACAAACAAATTTTTTCTTTGAAAAAGATTAAATATCATGTCACAAGTTTAGAAAAGTGGATGGTTCTTAGAATTTTTTTCTCCGAAGAACTGGAAAATGAAATAGACTTGGAAAATTTTAGTAATATTTCAATAAAAAAAAGAATATAGACAAATAACATTCAGTAAAGGTTTACAGGTGAAAATAAATTTCAGAAAATTTTATTATGGCGCTAAAAGTGGAATATAAACCTTAGAGAAATATACCAAGTCAGGTGAATTTTAAGAGGAAGATCGAAATAGCAAAAAAATTGCAATATCACATAGGCTGATTTTTACCATTTAGCTTTTCCTAATTAAATTCACCTGGGTCGGTATGTTTTTCTTAAGTTTATATTACACTTTTAGTGCCAAGATAACATATTCTGAAATTTATTTTCACTTGTAAACCTTTGCTGAATGTGATATGTCTATATTTGTTTTTCCATAGAAATATTACTAATATTTTCCGAGTCTTTTTCATATTCCAGTTCTTCGGAGAAAAAATTCTAAGAACCATCAACTTTTCTAAACTTGAGACATGATCTTTAATCTTTTTCAAAGAAAAAAATTTGTTTGTATCATCTGTCCTTAATCCAATAATCAAGTTTTCTAATGAACTAGGTAAGTTTTACTTTTCATCCGTCAACTCCCTTGACCAATGCATTAGTATACATTTTCGCCTGCATATAGGGCTTGTATCGCTAAATTCATCGGATTTACAAAAAAAGATAATTTACTGATGGAAAATGTGTAGGAGGTGAATTTATTATCAAAAAAGTTGATAAAACAAGTATAGCAGGAATCTCATTTAAAATAAGCATTCCGATGATATAAAGGAGCACAATGCTATCGACAGGATATGTCTTCTCCACTGTGACACATGATTCCACCTGTAGGGTAGAGAAGTTATTGCTATGTTTCTTCTTTGTATTGGTTGAATACACTTTTCAGCCTGAATACTGTTCGATATCTTTGAAGAAGGAACCGGTTATAGAAATACATAAACATGAATCCTTGAACAATAATCCTGTTACGGTTTTACACTATAAATTACTGACATAAACACATTCTTTATCTATTTTCCCCCAAGATACTTCTGTAAGGGATTCTAATTTCCTAGTACCATTTTCGCATTGATATCTCTGGTACCCAGGTTTACACCGGGAACACATTCCAGTCTCTATATATGTGACAATAACGACAGTTGTCAGGACAGGGAAGAGAACAATCTGGTCCATAATAGCCAGTTGGACAACCTTTAAAAAATATTGTATAGGTATTGAAAATCAATTTCATTTGCCTTAAGAAAAACAAATATATGTTTGTGTACTTTAGATCGATTTTGTGTTGATTATTTTTTCTTAACATCTAGTCTGCAAGTAACTAAAACAAAATGAATAAAAATGCTGCAAACATTTACTAAGTAGAAAAAATAGTTTTGTAAGAACATGATTATAAAAAAGAGATAAAATAACGTCGGTTATGATAAACGAATCATCATTTATAAATCTTCTCCTACCATAGACTTCCACTTCACATAGTTCATTAAATGCATATTTAGAATATCCATTTGGATATGTTACTCCTGGAAATCTTTCATTAAAGTATATAACATATTTTCCATGAACAGGACAACTTATATTGGCGATGGCAGGTATTGTTGATCTGGTGTAGTTCGTGTCGTGGAAACACAGATGACCATCGAGACGGTTTGTTGAATTTGATACGTAAACATAGAAACCTAGAAATCTTGCTGTGTAACCATTCGATGCATCTGGAATTTAAAAAAAAAAACGTCCATTAAAATGGATATGTTTTACTATATAAAGATTTAAACTGCATTGACAAATATATCTGAAACAAAAACATTATACAAATATTGACGTCTTGTCGGGCAATAGTTCGTTCCTGGGGGACTAACATAATCAATGTTTCCCGAAAACACAGTTAATAACTTGTTTTTTTTTTTAATAAATACAGTACAGAATAATAGTATTAGTAAGAATATTTTACTGAACATAACAGTAAATAGTATTTCAAGTTGTTTATGAAAAGCTATTAAGCGGTATATTTCAAGTTTCACAGACAATTGTGAAGTCAATAAAGAAAAAAAAAACAAAAAAAAAAAAAACAAAAAAACAAAAAAAAAAAACAAAGAACTCATTCAGCAGGATGAATGTAATTAGTACATTTCATTTAAAGTCATTTTTATATTTGATTAATGAAATTGATTTGTTTAAATTTTCTGTTCCTTGAGTTTCCTTCTTTCGTGAAATCCAAAAGTGTTGAATACAACACCCCCCCCCCCCAAAAAAAAAAATAAATAACAAAAAAAACAAAAATTCTCCTGATATTTAAACCTTTCTATTAGAATTTTTTTTTACTTGTAATGGTGATTCAAATTTTCATCGAGTTGTTTTCTTTCAGCATTAACATACCCCAAAGGTTGTTGTCTGTTCTGTAATGAATCCTTATATCATGAATGCTGTAGATTGCGTCCAGGATTACCCACCAGGTGGAAGTACTGTATCCATCAGCTGATATGGAACACTGTCCTCCCCAAGCACTTAAGTCAGTCCATTTTCCATCTACAGCTTTACTTGAGTGAAATAGAGTATTATTTGGATTGTATTGATAGGATTGCCATGTTTGTCTGTTGAGGGCAAAATTTTCTGAAAATATAATCAATTTAATCGTAAGCATTTATAAATCAAGCAATATTTCTAAGTATCCATATGAAATCATTATTAAACCTAATTCTTATTATTCTACATAAGGCGTTGTTTGGTTGGTTCTAGATTATCACATGCTCAGGCCATAAAACTTCATATTTCAATGTCGTGGGTATGCTTTTGGTCATATTCCACCTCTTGCATTTTCCCGCAAAATAGTTATCGTTCATTGAAAGAAAAGCCCGACTTCAAAATAGCCTGGTTTACGTCACAAAATTGTTAATTAGTGATGTGTCAAAGATTAAACAGTTACTTTGAGTTTAAAATTTAAAGTGAATTTGAGAGCAGTGCCGAATTTGAAATTCTATATTTATTTAATAAAAGTTTTTGATTGTTTCGGTATAATAAACAATTCATTGCATGGATGTTTTGGAAAATGAAGATTTATTTTGCTACGTGGGTTTGGAAGGACAGCACATGGATCATAATTCGGCGAAGTAACACTTTTTTATAATATGTAAAACTAGAAAATCGGAAAAGTCATAAATGAAACCTTTGCTACCATTATGCATTCTATAGACTTCAATGGGACGTGTACTTCAGGAAGCACTTTACCTCAACGTCACCACGTGAAGTCTATAAATAGGAAATATGCCTAAATGAAAAAGTGAAAAGTTCAAAACTACCCCGTGCATAATTCATTTCATATTGTCATAATAGTAATGTAAACACATATCTGTACCATGAAAAGTGCAGCTGGAATCCTACTGTCCTATCACAGAAACAACTATGAAACATTTTCGGACGAAACCTTCCCAAAATTTTTTACATTTTATTCATAACATTAAAAAATGCATCAATTCCCGTAAACCATACGATTCTAGCAGCACTTTCCAAAAACAATAGAATGAGAACTTTAGATAGGAACAAATATTACGTTTCAAAGTATGCGGCGTCGTGTTGAACTTTTTCATCTTTTTTTGTGACGAATAACAGTGGAAAGGCTGATCGGCAAGTAAAAATCCTGCCTGCTTTTAATTTACGACGAAATTGTAGAATAATATAAGCATACTTTAGCTTATTCTAACATGAATCACACTTAACATTCATTCTTAATGCTTTTAAACTCCGATTTCTTTTGTTTGTTCACATGAATTCTCGTTACGTTTCACTTTCACTCTGCTACTGCATGATCAACAGTAATGAGGTCACGGGTCTAGAGTTTTGACCCTGTAATAAATACAGAGACAGAGAAATAAAAAAAAAACTTCCGTTTATGTTTAACCTCTGCATATTTTGATTCATTTTTACCACCTCAAATCAATCTTATATATCGATTTTAAAAAAATTGTTATCTCTAAACTTCATGTCATATAGCTTACTTTGACGTCATATCATATAAGCAAGTAGAATATTTAGTTGTAACCTTAACATTCCTGGGTAAGAGGGCTTATATTTATTCATCCAAGCAGTATCATATTCTCCGAATCCTTCGGGGAATATGATATTTCCTCGCTAAATAAATCTTCATATTTTCCTCACTGTCATGCAATAAATGAAAAATATTTCATCGTGAGGTCCGTTTATACATAGTTATTTGTAAGCTAAGTTCTGAATTTCAGCTAATTGTTTTGCCTGTAGAGCAGAGTCGCACTAAGGGATCTTTTTACCCGGCGGATGTCCGTTTGTTCTCCGTATGTCTGTCTAAATATCCGTCCGTCTGTCACACCTTGTATATCAAAAACGATAAGAGATACTGACTTGATATTTTGCACATTAATTGTTGTGCACTATGGTCTTTGTAAATTGCCATAAATGCAAAACACGATACACGCAAAACACGATAAACGCAAAACAGGATAGACCTGATAAACGATAAATTGACGTCATCTCGCCTACTATGACGTTATAAGGTAGCACTGATTTGGTCTTGGTAGAGTATTTTGCATGCTTCCTTTTTCCCTCTGTGAATTGCATGGCCGTATGAACCGGTGATACGGCGATTTTTTTTGTTTAGACGTTGCGCACGGTGTTAGTGTCAGTTTCTGTTAACGTCAAAATGACTTTTTTTTTAAAGTGAAGTTATACAAATTTAATTTGACGTTACGCTTACATTTTTTTTACGAAAGAAATATAAAAAAAAACAATCAGTAAAGCCTCCAAATGTAATGAAGTTCAATGAAACACATGTAATACTAGATGCTGTCATGAGACAGTAATACCCGCACTTAGGTGTTTGCCTCTAAATACACGCTCCTACATATTGGGCGGCTTTCCAAGGAAAAAGTCAAAATAATTCTATAATTTACATGTATTCATCAAATTGAGTATGAAATTCTCAGACCCTGTGACCTATAACTCAGAACCTCTTATATTTATTTTACATGCTTAATTCATTATATACCAGTCTGAATTTTATTAATGATGTAAATTCATGCGCGGATTTGTCGTGGGGGGGGGGGGGGGGTCAGCTCCCCCCCCCCCCCTGGAATTTACAAGGTTAAAAAATGTATATACTAAAACAAGGAAAAAGTTACAATGGACCCCTCTTGGAAAACGCAGATCCCCCTGGTAAACACGAATATGTGTAAAATGGGTATGTAAAGTTAAAGATTTGAGACAATAGAAGTCACTACTACCCCCCCCCCCCCCCCACGATATAGGTTTTTGACGTTTGGGTGAGTTTCACTTTAGGTTTTTTTTATTTGGTTACCAAGAAATTTCTGGGATAGGATTTTTTTTTTTGACTGAGGTGGACCCCCCCCCCCTGGAAAAAATTTCTGGATCCGCGCCTGAAATTAGATTTTGATATATGTTTTGATATATGTTTTGCTCATAATAGGACCTTTTTAAATTTACTTATCCCCCCCCCCCCACTCGAGACCACAATCACACAGCACATACTTTTTGGAATAGGCTAGATGGAAAAGTTTTCTTAAATATCATTTGTTATGAATTAATTTAAAATTTGTTCTTGTACTATACATGTTAACATGTAAATTTCTACATCACATCACGTTGCGTCACCCATTATCATATTTTTAGATTAAACACCATTTGGCACACCTCGGCCGATTACCACTTCATCTGATAAGGTGACGGAATCGACGAAGATTTGCCGAATGGAATTAGCACATGGCTGCAGTCTGGTGTGCATTGGATTAATTCATTTTGTGTTATAATTGGATTTATATTTCATGAAGTTGACGAGACACAGGCAGTCGGTAAGTAGAAATTAAAGTATAGTGGGGGGTAAAATACACCTAAACGATTAGGTTAAAGTTCAAAAAGGGTCAAAGATCATCGCATCCCACACTAGACGAATTTCATATTGTGAAGTTATCTCCCGTTGTCGATGTGACATTCAGTTACTGCCAATACTGGTGCGGATCCAGAATTTATTTTCGGGAGTAGGGAAGGGGATTCACATCTCAGTCAAAAAATTCCAGCCCAGAATTTCCTGACAAGCAGGAGAAAAAAAAACTGAAAACAAATAAACAAATAAAAAACAATGATAGTGAGGTCAATGTTTTCTAAGTTAGGGGGAGGATGTCCAGAGTCATTTTTTATTTGCTTCAGTATATAGTCTTGTTTAAATAACAAAGCAAATTCCAGATGGGGGGGATGGGGGGATTCCAATCTCCCTACCCACTTCCTGTCCCTGAAATAACAATCTATTTTGTGATTCCAATTAAATAGTATATTTTTTCCATTTGACTAATTATTATACATATTTTGTTTCTTGTGTTTATATTATGTCTGTCTATTTGTCTGCAGAAATTATAACCTAGCTTGCCCATAAGTTTTAAGTGGGATGGGCTATACAAATGGCTTCCACATTTTATAGGTTTATTTATTGTGACAATTAAGACCTTTTATTTGGGTACCATTAATTTTTACCTCTGATCGCTTGACCTAGGATACACATTTTTACAAGAAAAATACCAATTTGAAACTTTAAACTCTGCCTAAATTTTGATCAGTAGGTGCTAGGGCTTTCATGCTTAACATGTGTATTCATTGTGAACTGTCAACAGGTATAAATATGTTTGACCTTGACCCTAGAGCTTGAACCACTTGAAAAAATTAACCTTGCCAAATAACTTTTGAACAGGAATTACTAGGGATTTCTTTATTTCACATGTGCATTCCTTGTGACAAGACTTTCTTCTGATACTAACAATTTGAACCCTTTGACCTTGACCTTTGAGTTTGACATATATTTGAGAAACTTCAACCTTCGCCATAGGCTTCCAAACAGGGACATTAGTGTTTCACAAACACATCTTGTCTTCATTATTATTTGGTGGTGTCTCCATATGAAGGAAAAATTCCCAAGAGAGATGTATTCACAACAAACAAACAAATTAAAGAAAATATAAAATATAAAACATGAATATGTTGGTCATGCATATCTCTGCATGAAAAAAAAAAACAGCTTTTCAAATACTGCAACCATATTGTAACCCTTTCAATACACTCATTTGAGCTTTTCTGGTTTCCTTAGCATATAACGTCTGTTGTGACGTGTCGTCCATCTATTTGTCTGAAAACTTTTTACATTTTTAACTTCTCTAGAACCACTGGGCCAACTTTACCCAATTCATATAGAAATATGTACATTTGTATGTCAGACTGTCCATCTGTCTCAATAAATTTAACCTTGGTCATCACAGTCATATCTACTGAATGAGAAGAGACATTCATATTAAACTTATGTATTAGTATTAACCTGTGAGAATGGCATGGTTTTTTTTTTTACATGTGACCTAGAAGTTTGACCTACTTGCAAAAAATTAAATTGTTATAAATTCATAATTTTGAAAGAGAAAAGTTAGGGCATTCATATCATAATGTATGTATATTATTACCTGTGATAAGACCTTTCTAAATTAATCATGACTTTTACTCTGTGACCTTGACCTTAAAGCGGTCAAGCCTAACCTACTTTTCAAAAATGTTGCATTTGCTTATAACTTTTGATTGAGATGAGATATTACTCTCACATTTGACATGTACATTAATTACTCAT